AGAGAGAGAGAGCCCATTTCAACATAATTCCAAGGTTTGTCACTCTAATGACAGTATTTTCATCATCTGTAAGAGGGCTTCACCATTAAATGCTACATTTCAAACACAGCATGATGATAAGGAAACTACATGCTCATTACCCCAGGGTGCTACATCTAGAGGAGGTACCTATCCTGTTCTCTCTGCTCAACTCTGTAGATGAAACCAGGTATCCCTTGAATAAGATCTGTTGTTTCTAAGTCCCAATATGGTTATCTAAATCACCACTGTACAATATTAAATCAAGAACCAAAAGAACCTAACATCCTGCAGCTTTGGTAGAGTAACAGCAAAAGTGATGACAATAGCAGAGATTGTATGAGAGACCTCATGCTGACTGTTACAAATTTCCATATTTGGGGTTCCAAGAAATGAGTGCTGAATAAGTGTGCTGCTGAAATATGCACTCCAAAATCATTTATTTTCAACTCTGGGTTTTCTCACATTATCTATTTTGTTTCACGTGCATTACACTGAAAATGAAACCAATATCAATGTATACATAATAAGCTCTTGGACGAGAATATACATAAAGATAATCCTCTTTAGAGCGGGTCAAAATGCATGGGGGACACATACCTTTCAATATTGTTGCTAATCCCAATGCCAATAATAATGAACAGAACAACTTTTATGACAAAGTCTTGCTGTTTGGGGCTCATTTATCTGTCTGTCCATGAAAGGACAACAAACTTATACAGTAGTTATCTCTGTGCTTCCATTTTGAAATTGAGAATGGTTTTCACTTATGACTCTCAATCACCAAAAGAACATCTAGGTCAGATGACCTAAATCTCCTAGGCTTTAGTAACAGTTTACATTTCTAGCTAACTCTTAACATCTTATTGAATTTTAAACAATACAAGTTGAACACAGAAATGAAAAACGTAATAAAAACAAATCAAATAAAATTCTAGTTGGAACCGTTGGATTGGTATGTTTTGCTGTATATATAATTAACTAGTAAATAAAATTTAGAAGGAAGAAAAAAAAGATTATAGCCCAAATAATTCTAATTGGGAAGAAACTTACCAAAAACTAGCTAATGCTTAATTAAAAGAATGAACCCACCTCTAGCTTTTTCTCTGCTTTTCTACATACAATCTATTTAATGACTAGTGAGTAAAGTCATTATTAAAAATCTGCCATGCTTGTTTTCTCCTATGTTACTGGGCTTGTTTTGTACCACTGCAGGTTACTCCTAGGCTCACATGGGAAGCATAAATAAGAAGTAATCCAAAATTAGAAATAATTTTGACTTGACTCTGGTATAAATTTGTTGGCATTTACTAATATACAAGTAAACAAAGAAACTAAATAATAATACCTTATAAGAAAAGAAGATTCTACTGCATTTCCAACTCTACCTCAAGTAAGATCATCTAAAATTTGACCCACAAGAGGTATAGACGTTCTCATCTGTTTTGATATTTCTTGGTCATTACAACTAGAAATGAAGAATGGGGGCAAAATAAACCAAACAAAGCACTCCTGACTTTAGCTTTCAGTGTAGGTTGGTTGTTGTTATTGCTGTTAAGCACCATCAAGTTGGTTCCGATCCAGAGTTACTATGTATAGGGTTTCTGAGGAGCAGCTGGTGAGCTTGAACTGCCAACTGTGTGGTTCTAAATGACTTTGCAGTCCAGCACATTAACCCACAGCACTACACCAGGGTTTCTCAGTGTAGACAGTAAGAGGAAAAACCATAAACATGAGAGGGAGAGAGGGTACAAACAACAACAATAATAACAAAAATAAAAACCCAACTCAACTATCCCTCCCCAAAAGGACAGCAAGGGATGAAATTATTCATGGGAAAGGGGGGTATGAACGTATTCTAGAATGACATCTCTTGAAATCTGGAGGGGTCAAAAAACAAATTGAAAAATCCATTCTGTACATTGGAGACCTATCCTGGCTTATTAAGAGATAAATCCCTAAACTTGATCTAGGAAAGAACAAAGGTTGGGCAATCACTGTACTCTAAACATTTGGTCTTAAAACAAAAGTCATACAGTGAAAGGTCTTTTTGTTTCTTCTCCCAAGCAAAAGGAGAGCAAATTTACTTTGGGTGCTATGTGATGACAGGCTGGTGAAGGAAGGGAACCAGCTGCTAGAGAAATGATAGAAACTTTATTTGAAGAGGTCCCAGAGAAAGCCAAGAAAGCATCGTTTTTGAAGCAAGGGTGAGTGGTTTTGATAGTGCGGATACTGAGAAGTCAGGAGATCAAAGAGGAAGGCAGGGTACAGGGAAACTAACAGAAAATGTGAACTCAAGATATGACTTCAGGCTCGATGATTACTAATAATAAGCTCCACAATCAGTCTCTGAACTTAGTTTCTTTGCCCCAGCAGCTTTCCTGAATTGTTTAGTGAGGCTCCTGTGAAAATGTACATGAAATCCATGTGAGAAATTTAAGAGTATTATCACTAAGCTGCTAATCTAGGTTTGAACTGCAGGGAACAAGGTTGTACTCATCTTTGTGTTTATGCCCTGAGAACACACAGGGCTACAGAGAGAATTAAATTAGCTATTTCTTTATAGAAACGTTTAATAAGGTTATGTAACATCTCACACCATTATTGAACTTTGGAAACTTGCATGTATCATCTGTCTCTGGATATAAATCTGGTTTTGGAGCATGGAATGCTTTGTAATATTATTTAAATTACCTTAAACACTCCCTTCTTAGGAGGTGACTGGAGCACCTTAGAAGGTACTTGACTAAACATCAACTCTTTCCTTAGAGAAAAAACATCATCCCATTTTTCTATAATTTGTAGCCAAGGAATCTTGGACTAGAACTTGGGAAGTCTGGGTTTTAGTCTAACTTCTACTACTATAAACCAGAAATGAGGTCTCATCTAAAAAAACATTTAAAAAAATGTTGTCTTATATATTAGGGACCTGAAAAACAATCATATTTGATCCACTATGTGAAATTAACCTAGATAATTAATCCAGAGATTAAATATATCTGTAGGCAAAGATATGAACTAAGATTACTACTTATAATAACACAAGTATTTCTCCAAAAAGAAATAGGCAAATAAATTTATACAATGGAATGATGTAGCCTTTAACAATAATGCTTAAGTCCTTGATTACATGTAGAGAAATACAACAGCAGTAATGTTGGATGAAGTATTAAGTAAATTATGATTCATTTTAATTATATATAAAAGAAATAAACACTGGATAAAAAGGCAAAACCCCTACAAAGATTTTAATAATTAAGTGGTTGTTGTTGTTGTTAAGTGCTGCTGCGTCAGCTCCGACTCATAGCTACCCTGAGGAGCGTTTCTGAGGAGCAGCTGGTGAGCTTGAACCGCCAACCCTGTGGTTCAAACTGACCTTGCAGTCCAGCACATTAACCCACAGTGCCACAATAGGACTCCAGTTGAGTGGTAATAAGATTAATAATGAGTCTTCATACTTGGCATTAGGTGGTTCAATAGGATAAGTACTGGACTGCAAACCAAATGTGTTAACCATTTGTACCACCCACCCAAACAAGCAGGCAAACAAAAACCCAACCTGTTGCTGCTGATTTAATTCATACTCATGGAGACCCATGTGATACAGAGTAGAAGTGCTCCATAGAGTTTTCCTGGCTTTAGTATTTTGGAAGCAGATCGTTAGTCCTTTCTTCTGTAGTGTTGCAGAGTGGGTTTGAACCATTGATCTCGAGGTTGGTTGTTAAAGTACAAACTGTGCCACCACCAGGGACTCTTAACACCCTACTTTCTACTAACTAAGGTGGTGGTGGTGGTGAAGTGCCGTGAAGTCGGTTCCGACTGATAGCAACCCAGTATAGGGTTTCCGAAGCTATAAATCTTTACGGGAGCAGAAAGCCTCATCTTTCTCCCACAAAGCTACATTAATTATCATTTAAAATGACCAAGAAAAGTGTCTTAAAACCACTCCCAACAAGCACCATCCTAATTCAGATCTTTATGAAGTCTTACCTCCCGTTCTATACCAAATTCTTCTGCTAGTGTAAATTTCTACCCAGAGGAGTATTCCCTAATACTGACACTATATAACCAGAACAAGATTCAAGAAGAGATGGTCCCCTTCATTTTCAGAAGCACCGTGCGTGTTCAGTGCAAGAGTTTATATTGTTTTCCAGAAAATACAAATGCACTGCTTGAGTTACAAAACCATCCATCCAAGACAGCACACTCCACTGCCCTCTCTCAAGTGGGGAGAGCGAGTCATAAAACGGAAACAGAATAAAGTTCTGATTGATTTCACAGTCCTCCTTTCCCATCCAGGAGAAACGCTATAGTTCTCTGAATTTTATGCCTATGTTTTACATTTCCTGAAAAGCAGTCATCAGTATACAAATATGGATGGCAAATACCACCTTTGTATCCCATCCCCTAGAGGCACTTTTAAGCAAAGGCATGGAGAAAGACAAAGTATGATCTGAAAGAAACATAATTATGGATGTATTTATAATTTAACAATTTTAATCATACAAAATAAGTTTTCTTAAGGCAACAGGTACACTTTCTGTTGAACGTTTTTTTAGTGGACAGAGAATTGCATTTACCCTTTGACTTATCAATTGCCATAAGCAACATTTCAATCAGGCTCAGATAAAATATACTAATCCTAAATAGGCCAAGTTTGTCACTACTGTGTCTATAAGCTGCTTAAAATAGTTAAAAAAAAGAAAAAGAAGAAATTTTAAATTAAATGCCAAACAGTTGCAGACAGCACCTGTTTGGCTGATTAACTTGTAGACAAGCATTACAAATAAACCTGAGCATGGTCTGCAGTAAATTAAATTCGACTGCTTTTAAGAACAAAGAATTCCTTGGCAAAGAGGATTAACAACTTTACACCCAGGAATGCCAGTTTAATTTAATTGTTCCACACTCCAAGATTTATTATGCAAATATCATTTTGATATATAACAGTGAATTTAACAAAGTGAGGAAGCAAATTCAATACACAACCAGACTAGCTTTTCTGAACTCTAATTACATACAAGAAAGAAACTGGCCGATTTCTATCCCACCCCCCCACCCCACCCCCATATTGGGACTGAATGCTATTAACATGAATCAGAACAAGTATAATTAAAGGTTAAAATTTTAAATGCATTCTAATTAAGAGTCTAAATAAACAGCTGTACAATTAGAATACTGTAGTTAAAATCATACCTCAATGATCTTCTTGGCCTCTTTGTAATTTCCTGTTTGTAGGAAGGCGAAGAACAGATCATAGAGCATCGTCATTTCACCTTGTTCTTGGCTGACAAAGTCCATTGCTAGAGAAGAAAGAAAATCTATTAGAAGAGAAAAATACATAGAAGCACAATACATGTCTTAAAAACAAATATTTATAGTAACTTCAAAATTATAACTAAATCGACAATTTCCTGTCAGATTTCTTCACAGGAGATACATGTATGGTATTAAGTGCCTTCAAAGAGAACTGGAGGGGTGAAGGGTAAAACGATCTTCTTAAAAGGAGACCACCAAGAAGTAGAACACAGAGGAGCACCTTTTCAAACTCAATTGATTAAAAAAAGCAAGTACAGTTATAATACTGAACATTTGCCTGATTTCAGAAGTGTGGCTAAATTTCTCTGTATGTGTTTGCCTTCCATTTAAATTTTCTCTTCACTGCAGTGCATTTACATTAAATAAAGAAGAGGGAGAAAGTTAAGATATTAGGTAACTAACCTTTCTGAATGTGATCAGTCTCGCCTTTCTCTATCAGTTTGCATAAGACATCATGAATCCTTGGTAGTATTTTATATTTTTCATAGCAGCCAATGGAGGCTTCAAGAGCGGCATTTAAGTCATCCCTTAGAAACATCACACATAACAATGAATAAAATAAATTCAACACCATTGAGACTTGCAGTAATGGTTTGAAGAGATTACAATGTACATGACTGAGCTCTAGTTAAGACAAAAAACAAAAAGTCTAAATGGAAAATATTATGAGAAGCAATTCTTATAAATAAACAAAGTTCACAATACAGACATCATCAGCAGTTACCTACTTTCATGGTACCAGCAAGCTAAATAATATAAATTAAAAATTTATGCATACAGATTTTAAAAAGAAATACTGTCAGATAACTTTTCCAATTTCTTATGTATCTTCATAGTCCTCAACAATTTTAGATGGTGAAAAATTTACTGTTGTTGTCAGGTGCCTTTGAGTCGGTTCTGACTCATAGCAACCCTTTATATGGTTTTCTGAAGAACACCTGGTGGATTTGAACCACTGACCTTGCAGTTAGCAGTCCAGTGCTTTTCCAATACTAATTTACATTAATAGGTATCATGGAATGTTCAAGCACTTTTCAACTTTGTCATCATATTTTTGGATATCGCTAGCTTTTTGACATAAGCAAGGCTTAAGTCTCAGATTTATTTATATACACCAGCAACGTGGTAATAATACTAGGATATTTTTGTTGGCCAGTGAATTATGAGACCTTTAAAAAAAAAAAAGGTTGAAAAAAAAATCCTTTCTGGTTATAAAGAATTACTTTTGTTGCTAGGTGCTGCTGAGTTGGTTCCGACTCACAGCGGTCCTATGCACAACAGAACAAAATAGTGCCCAGTCCTGCATCATCCTTCATGATTGTGAAGTTTGAGCCCAATGCTGCTGCCACTTTGCCAATCCAGCTTGTTGGAGGGCTTCCTCTTTTTCTCCTGCCCTCCACTTCACCAAGCATGAAGTCCTTCTTCAAGGACTGGTCCATCATAATATGTCCAAAGTATGAGAAGTGAAGTCTGGCCATCCTGGCTTCTAAGGAGCATCCTGGATGTACTTCCTCCAACACAGATGTTTGTTCTTCTGGTACTTCAGGGTACTTTCAATATTCTTCTCCAGCATCATAATTCAAATGCATCAATTCTTCTATGATCTTCCTTATTCATTGTCCAACCTGCACATGCATATGAGGCTAGGTTTCTCTTATGGTATGATTAGTTAAAATTTAAAAGCAAACAGCAACTAAATCAGTTTCTCTAAAAAGAATGCAAATATATTCTACAGGCCCTCAGAAACTACCTTTTATACTTTAAAAGAAAAATACTAAATATGAGAAATATCATTATGAATGTAAGACATGAGAAAAGTTATAGGGATTATGTGATCCAATTCTAGAGGGCTGTCCCTTTCATTTTTACAAAGATGAGGAAACTGAGACATCTAGACATTGACTGAGTTGCCTAAGGCTCCTTAGTAAACTGGGCGGGCACTGGAAGAGGACCCCCCAAACTTCTCTCTTTCACTTTGGCTGGTGGTGGCTGTGTTCCATGGAGTCGGTTCCAACTCACAGTGACCCTGTACAGGGTTTCCGAGGCTGTAAATCTTTACGGGAGCAGAATGCCTCATCTTTCTCCCACGGAACAGCTTTCACTTTAGCACATTTAATTAGACATTATGCTCTATTAAAAGCATCATTGGTTGTTTAGCCTAATAAAATAGTGTTATTTGGAATAAGAAATTGAAAGAGTTTTATACAGGATATGAAACATAAAAGTGAGGCTTGGGTAGAGACAAGGGCCAAAGTACAATTAGTGACAACTACAAATCACCTTTTTAGAGAACACAAACTTCACACAGGCAACAGTTTTCTAAAGGAAGAAAAGCTGCATGTTCTGTTAAAGCCCTAACATTTTTATCCATTATACAAGTGTTATCTTTTTCTAGGTTGAATTACTATTTTATCTAGATTAAGATTTTAAACTCTACTCAAAAGTAAAATAAAATGAAGAAGTGTTAATTTTATTGCAATAATAATGACATGGTGAAAATGAGCCTATCCTGCCGGATCTCTACCTTAGCCCCTTACTAAAGCCCTGTTTACAGTGCATCTTCCGGCACCCCACAGAGTCATTTCAATTTTTGTCATTTGGGGTGAAGACTAAATTACAGGTTAATTTCAAAACTGCAAGTAGATGTTGCAGGCTAGATTACTGTCATACAAGAGAAATGCTACAGTACCTACCACATATCATAGAAAGCTTTATATAATCAGTATTTTTCTGAGGTTCAGACACAAGTTCAGTCATTGCCTTTCTACAGTTCCATTAATGGAAAACTGCTAAAACATTTTAAAGAGTAAAACTAACACATACTAGTTGTCTGGACTTTTTTAAAGGAAAGATTTGCTTTTTCAGATCAATTCCAAACTAGAATAGTATTGTCTAAATTGTATTTCCCCTACATTAGGTCAAGGCTATCAATAAAGGAATGAATAATTGTTCTGTCAATCAAAGAGACATGTTAATAGTCTTGGTCTACAAATATATGCTTCTGAAGATTATACGTGCTCAGAACAACAACAGAAAAGACAAGACTAGCAAAATGGTAATCATTCATATATTTGTTAGTAGTTCTCAGAACAAATATTCCTCCTCTTAGATTGCCAAAAAGATGAATGAGAAAATCTATAATGAAACACACTTCATAAAAAATACAGTGAAGATAGAAACGAACTAAATGAACAGTTGGTTTTTTTCAATCCCTTATTATCTTTATTCTGACCTGTAGTTAATCTTATCACTTTAAAAAGAGACAAAAATTCACATTCCTTGCATAATATGGCACCTTTATTCATCTTTATTATTAAAGCTTGAAGATTGGATGAAAAAACAATTAAAACATGAAGAAAATCTCTAAAATGCACATTGCTTATATGTATACTTGTTTCCTCATAATTTCTGGATTCTAATTCCAACTGATTTACGATGGCTGAATACAAAGACCTTTGGGTTCCTTCCCAGTTATATCAAAATATGTATTATTTTGTGCTATTAGGTTCATCTACCCAAGTATGTTTGACATCAGCTGAGAAAATCTCAATAAAGGGTATAGTGTAAGTATCACTTTTATTAGGTAGGATGAAATCAGAGTAGCAAAATGTAAGACATATTACCAATTAATGTATCTCTAGCTTCTGTAACCTAAAGTGATTCTGTGATCTTCTTTGTACACTTTGAAACATGAAAACTGATTTTAAAAACTCTACTGTAAATAACAATAATCCTTTGATGAATTCTTACTATAACAATAATTCTAGATTCCAAACTTTGATTGCATGCTTACTGCAGTATATATGAATACTTTCATGCATCTGAAGCTAACTAAAGCTGATTACACAAATAAGTCACAAAGATTAACAAATGCACTCCTGATAAAAATTCAGTCACTGTGCTTCCAAACACTTCAAATAACACTAAAAGAAGATAAACTCTGTAATATACTACTATCTCAGAAAGACTGGACCCCTCCAAAAAACACAGCGTAAAGGAATATATAAAATAACTTGTAGGAATAAAACTATATAAGGGGGCTTCAAAGAGTTCATGGAAAATAAAATCAAAAGATTAATTTTTCCACAAACTGTTTAATGTTCACTCGTATGTGGTACTAACAAAAGCTAAGCATTTATTTTTAAAATTAATTGATGATTAACATATTAATCTACATATAAATTTTACATTTATATGTAAAAATTCAAGCTCTACCAAAATTCTATGAGTCTAGGAAATAAAGGCAAAACAGCGAAAATGTGATTCCATAATTCTACATTTTAAGATATGCATATATAATAAGACTTCTGGTGTGGCACTGTAGGATCAGCACTGGACTGTGAACCACAGGTCAGCAGTTTTAAACCCACCAGCTGCTCCTCGGAAACCCTATGCGGGGTCACTATGAGTCAGAACAGACTTGATAGCACTTAAAACAACAGGCTGGACCCAGTAAGGGTATTAATACTTACAAAATAATTCAGTTTATTTGCTTAGAAGGTACCATTTGACCTACATCCAAAAATCAAGAATCTACAGTTTGTATTTTAAGGGACATCGCCACATATTGAACTACTACAAACTGTAATTGTTCAGTAATACATGGATGAATATAGAAAAAGACAAACTTAAAGTTCATGTAGAAAACCAAATATTGTCTCTTGTTAAGTCCTTATGAAACTAATATGCTATAATGTCAATGATAGAAACACACACCCTAGGTTAAGATAGATAATCTTACTGGACATACATTCCTATCACAAAAATATCTACATAAATGTATTGGGAAACAAATCACTCCCAACTCAAATTGTTCAATACATATAAATGTAAAATTCAACAATGTATTTCATTGAACTATTACAAGAATAAACCAGTAACAAGAATCTGTCGCCTATCAGCAGCTTGGGGACTATGGTGGTTCCGTACGATAAGCAATGGACTGCGAACCACAAGATTGGCAGTTTGAGCTCACCAGCTGCTCTGTGGGAGAAAGATGAGGCATTCTGCTCCCAAGAAGATGTACAGCCTCAGAAACTACACAGCATCTCTACGTGTCAGAAGCGACTGCACGGCACTAGCAAAAACAACATCCAGCAGCTTTAATGTACTTTCCTTATTTATTAGTAAGGTAACTTCCCAATCCAGAGTATATTTAATTTAAACAACAAAAAAAGATGACAAATATTAATTGTTAGTTGGAATAAAGTACTTCAACATTATGTACAAAGTGTCACTGAAGTGGCAATTTACCTAAAAGGCTTACTGACCGAAAAGCTCTCAAATCTGAAATCACCAGAGAAAAAAAGGGGATTTGGGAAGAAAAAAAGTTTAAAATGAGGAGGATGTAAAACAACAACAACAAAGACCTCTCAATACCCTAAAAATAACCCATTCTATAAATCATAATCAGATAAACTCCGTATGGAGAGAAATCAATTCAGGAGAAATCATCATCTTCTGTTAAGAAAACCAGCCCTTGAAAGAGCTAAATGTTTTTTTCTGTTCATCATCTATAAATGAAGAATCTTGAAGGAGACTGGTGTTGCAATTACAAGTCATCCTCCCCCAAAAATTAACTGTGTTGAAGGCTTTGTAATCCCCAGGTACAATTTAGCCGTCACTCACTTTAAGATTTACTCAAACATGCGTTCCGAACAACACTAACTTCACATGTCAAGTGCTTTCCAGCCAATTGAGTCTAAACTGGAAGTCGGTGTTAAACAACTGAACGATTAGACAAGATAGCTCATTTCCCTGCTCTTTTGTTCAGAATAAAATGCCACATTTACATTATCAGGCTCAACAGGATTTTCTGACAGAGGGAGAAAAAAAACCTTACTGAACACTGTCCGTACGAAGCACATGAAGCCTGTCATTTACCAATCATCCTTCAAAAAGCAATAGCCATGAATGTAACTTAATTACGACCCAATGATCCTTGACGAAAAATCATCTTATCACTGTCCTGTTCCCCTAGGGCAAATGAACCACTTTTGTACTTTGGCACTGATGATGCTAAATTCTTAATTGCAATAATGGAGTAAAAAAGCCAAACCTCCTTAATTTCCTTTCAGTGCATAAAGTATTTTACTCTGGAAGGCAAGCATTCCCCCAAATAATAAAAGTATCTAGTACAAATGAAGATGCTAAAATTGAAGGGGTGTGTGAATGAGCGAGACAGAATAGCCAACACTTTTTTAAAGTACGATATTCCCATTCACAGAACACACACTAAAGTGTTAACAGTGAATTTAAAAACGTAAGTTGTCATAGGCTCATTTTATAGAAACTGTGATTTTTACAGGGACCTCAAGATTAGCATAGCAAGAGTTATGGGAAAATTATTATATACCAAGTCCATGGTACCCTGAAACAAAATGCTTATGTGCAAATAGATTAAAACACAAATCAGCACAGAGAACTCCTTCATGAAAAGCAGAAATTAAAGCTGCTTTGATCATTTGCACAAATATAATCCAGTTAAGTAGCTTCAGACATTTTTCACATACAGTGAAACCAAAATGGATCAGACAAGTAAACCTGAAACTGCATCATACGTTTTTTGCGCCTTTAAACCTAAGGCCCACATTTTAATACTTTCACTTCCTTTACTATAACATAAAAACTAATCTCCTAGTTTAAAGCATTTCTCTATTCCTTAATATGGAGAACCCAAGTCTTCCTCAATCAGGCATGGTTTCAATAAAAAGAAATTAACTTCAAAATGAACAAACTAAAATGCTCAAAAAAACATTCATTTGAAATACTTTTAGACCCACGGCTTACAGAATAATCTAATGTAAATGAAACATATGAAAACTATTTTGTTCAACTCTTGAGTATTTCATTTCTGTTCAATAGAAGTATTATCAAAACATACAGAAGCAGAGTAGTTTACCACCTTCCTTATAATTTTGCAAACCTGTTTCAGCTATCCCTTGACAAATAAAGATAAAATGCATCATTTTCACATCCATAAAGATTCTGGTGTGGTATCCTAGAGCAGCACTTGACTGCTCACCATATCAGCTGTTCAAACCCACCAGTTGCTCCCTGGAAAGTAAACAGGAACTAACTCCACAGCAATTGAGAATAACTGATTTGTTTACATTATTCAAGTAACACAAACTGATATACTATTAACTTCTCCTGTGCTTAATCCAATGTAGGAAAAGTCAGTTCAAAATTAAGATTTACTGAATCTTCAATATTACCTGCTAAGTGAGTCAATCTATGAATTTTAGAATTGAAAAATAAAAAACTTTATCCATACATGTGATATCCTCTAGAGTCTTTTGCAATGACATTCCAAAAGAGATGTTCACCTTTGAATGAAAGGATGATGATTCTGTTCTGAAATATTTTCCATAATTTTATCTCAAGTATGAATAAATAAGGCTCATTTTCAGATGAGCTCTTACCTACTGAGATCCGTTTGACAATATGACTGAAGATTAAACACATTTAATCAAATCAAATACATGTGGACTTTTTGGCAGGATAGTCAATTCTAGTAATTAGAGTACTTGTGATTCAGAATTCATTAGAAATTTTCATTCATTTGGAAAAAACATAATTGAAACAAGTTTCAAAGTCCATTTTCCTCAAACATTACTAAAAATTACAAAAAATTACAAAAAAAATATATTGTAATTTTATAAATATGAGATTTATTTGATTTTTATTTATTTCATGACTGAATTACCAACAAACTCTTTTTTATTGTCATAAATGAAGCTGATGCCTCTGAACAGGAAAGACAGTAAAATGAGCAAAAAATAAAAGCAAACAGAAACAATTTCTGTTATTTATCTGACAGTAGTTAAGAAGGAAAAGATAATGATTTTGACTTCTTTAATCCAACTATGGATAGCATATGTCTACTCAAAAAGACACCTATCTGAATGTACTGGATCATCATTGGGTGGGAAGCCCAGAGCAGCCAAGTACTTCATGCTATATTACTCTGTAGCAATTGAACTCCGTGTGGGTCCCATTTTCCCTTGCATAAGCTCTACTTGGTTCATGAGCCCCACCTGCAGACCTCTTTAGGAAAACTTTTATGTCTCCTCAGTCTTCAAAGTATTTCTATTCGTAAAATAACTTTGTACCAAGGCCCAGTTTTCACTGTTAATTATTTTATTTTTGCCCAGAACTGGAGGAGGGCCTAATACTTCTGGGCACCGGGCCCATTTCTTTCAAATCTCTATAAAGAGTTCCACATGCAATTTGCAGAGATGGGTCTTTTAAACAATCAAAAAAATTCTAGGAGGAAGCATATTAATTATAGGATTTCTATATAAAGTTGGCTGTGAACACGAGAACTCAATAACATAGTAATTGTTTGAATCACTATTTCTTTAAAAGGATGCAATGGCGAGATTGTGGAGGTAAAGATTTGGCCAATCATTAACCTGATATCGGTTCAATGATTGAAATGCAAAAGAATTATTCCACAAACATGTATGTATGCATATGCATGCACAGATGCACATATATATGTTTCCTAACACAGAGCTAGTAATAGAGATGTTTTTATTCCCCAATCAACATTTGCATTTAATCAAATTACAATACTTGCAGAAAATGCACATGCTTTCTATATACTTATGCTCCTCGCCCACCACACATATACTCATACTATAAATCATGAATATCAAATGAGATAAAAGCCTATAAGGGACAGGAATTTTTGAGTCTATGGGACAGAGATAAGTTAATATTGTTATCCAAATCAAGACAATTAAAATCAATGGGCAAAGAACACTGTCATAACTGGTAACAATCACAAATGGTCTGACGTCCCCCTCAAAATTTTTTTTCAAGATCAGTAATAAGCAAATGCATGCAATGTAAAACAATGACACATGCATTTCCCATTGAAATTTAAAAAGCTTTGTCTTATTCTGTTTTGTTGACCATACCATGTGTTGGCTGGGAAGGAGCCAGTGAACTTGACCTTGTTCATGGAACAGAGAAGTTTCTTAGTGTTACATATTCAATTAACTAAGTATATTCCAAAAAATAAAGAAAAATTGCTAGGAATTTGGGAAAATAATAGCTAGGGTATATCTGTTGTTTTTCTCTTGGTACTGGTAGGGCGACATTCATATTAACACCAGGAAAACCCACTCACAAAAAACAAAACAAGCAGATTACAAAAATGCATTAAACCATGGAAAAGATGATAGAGGTAGAGCTAGGAAATTAAACACACATACAATATATACAATAAAAAAAAAAAAAACAATAAAACAAAAAACAAGTCAAAAATGAAAAGAAAATAATAAAGCATGCTTAAACATCTTATTAAAATGTTTTACTCATTATAATACAGTACATTAATTTTTATTTTCATTGCAAATAATACCTTAAATAGGATACTAACTTGAGTATTTGGAATGAAAAAATTTTCAAAGCCAATAAACCTTGCCCTATCTCAACAACATTCATTTTTTCCCTACAATGCAGCGAGAGATGTCTTCAAAAACATTTATTACACTTAGAATAACTGTACTGGTAAATGTAAATTAAAATATATGCAGAAAAGGAACACTTAAGAGGCACTTCTAGTTTACTATCAAAATAGTCATTATATAACCAAAAATCCAAGAGGACCTTTGTTCTTGTATTTATTAATCATTAGCTCTTATACAGCTCAAAGCTGAAAAACTAGACTCAATGCCATGTAATATTATTACATGCCCTTCAAAAAAAATTACCATAGTTCATTGCATTGAGAAGTAAGACACAAGAAACAATGGTGATTTTAAAGGTCACCTAATCCACATGAGTCCTGGTATGGCACTGTGGGTTAATGCACCAGACTGCAAAGTCATTTGAACTGCAAGGTTGGTGGTTCAAGTTTACCAGTCGCTCCTTGGAAACCCTATACAGCATCACTATGGGTTGGAACCCACTTGATGGGCACTTAACAACAACAACAATCCACATGAGTCCTTTTATGCTGTGACAAATAAGCTCCACAGGCTTCTATAACACAACAGTGCATTTACAAAATAGAATCAAAAGGTGACTGCTGTTGTTGTTGCTGTTAGGTACTGTGGAGTTGGTCCTGACTCTTAAGGACTTTATGCACAACACAATGAACACTGCCTGGTTCTGCATAATCCTCACAATCACTGTTAAGTTTGAGCCCATTGCTACTCCTTTTAATGCCAACATTAAACATCAAAATTCAATTAACTTACTTTTCCAGATATACAGTGACCAATGGGGAACATATGGTGGTGGATGGGTTCGCTAACCCTAGAGTCACGATGGCTTCATGCAACTGTTTTACTGTTTCAACTTCACCTCTTAAAGCTGCACTATTTAGGATGTGGAAAAAGGACAAGACTGTTGCATCTTTGATAAGAACATCCTTCTCTTTCATCTCCTTTAGAATGTTAATAGCATCTACAATGAAGTAACACAAAAGACCCTTAGGTAATTTCATGTAGGGAAAACAAACTGCTATTAAAACAGCATTTCAAGCACAGCAGGAATGTAAATTCTAGTGTATAATGCCGATTTCAAGTTAATTACTACTTGCATTTCTAAACGAGACTACAATTATAAATCCACAATAGCATGGTTTTATCATTTCCCTGCAACTTTGACTACAAATTATAGATAGGGACTGTGTGCCCACTCTGCACCACATAACCCTGTATGGGCTGCCCTATAGCTGTAAGATCCTCCTAAATGGATGCTTTTATCGTTCAGTGCTAACATCTGCTAAATCACACCATTGTTTCTACAGCAGATGGCTTGTCAGGAGGCCAGATAATAAAGATGTGTTTACACTGTATATACAGCCAGACTAATGGTCTGATACCGATAGGGCCTGTTTGCTATGTCGATACTAATTAGCCAAGCAGAGCCAATGAAAGCTTTCCAAAAGACTGCATGTTAATACATTAGGTTCATTAAGCTTCATTAGGAAGGCAGAAACAAACATTTTAGGATATGGCATAACTGTATTTTTATGATGGTGTTCTTAATTATTGCACAGACAAAATGTTTTGACCACTTTAAAAAAAAGTGATTTAAAATAAGCAGGCAATTCCTTTGAGAGTTTTTATTAGAAAGACTTCCAAGGGAAAAAAAATTCAATATTGAAATAACACATTTTCTCCAAGCATTCTTTACTATAATAAATATGATTAATAAAATTAAAACCAGCTTATCTAGGAATAAAAGGAATAGAAGGCTAAAAAGGAAGTTTCACAATAAAGTCCAATCAAAAACTTAAAAAAAATAAAAGCAAATGGTAAGAATTTATCAAGTGTAATTAATTATGAGGCTCAGCTTTATCATAACAAGAAAATTAGACTATGCAAATCAGCCATATCACCAGCTACGCTTTTTCCATGAATTTTCTAATAAAGCTTATTAAATACAAGGACTATTGCAACATTCAGATTCTTATAGATAAGGTTATGTTTATAGGTTTTATGTTCAGCCTTCAGATCTTCTTAAGCAAAAACAAAGCCATTAGTCCAAGCACATAAGCAAACTGTGCCATAAGTCATGATCTTCAAACTCAATCCAAACAGCAATGGTAATAAAAACTAGCTGCAGAAATGCAAAAAGCACTCAGCTGTGTAAATGTAAATGACAAGCCTGCCAATCCATTAAAACTAATGGCCTACACTGTCCATGCAGCTCTGCTTGGATTCACATGCAAATTTGAATGCAAAGTGTTCAAGCACTTTGCAGGACATGATATACCATTAATATCAATTCACATGTTATTCCAGAAGCAAGATACTGGCATCACCTATTTCCTTTCAATGCCGAGGCTTACCTTGGAGCTTGCCATGCTTTCCCAATACTTTTACGAGGTCTACATACTTTCTGGTGTCAAGGACAGCAGATGAATCTAAACAATCACTAAAAAAATAAAAATCAAATTTTTATCATGTTGTCAATTCAATGCAAAAAGCATCACAATATCTATCTTAATCACATTTCATAAATTAATCAGAAGCTCCTATTTCACTGGCTCCATACTTGTGAGATTTTTCAAGTCATACATAAACTCACATGTAGGTATATTCACAGTGACAAAAGTAAAACTACAAACACTACATATATACTGTATCATCCATTTGAAAGCAATACTAACAAATAACCTCTTTGACTTCATGAAACTTTAGATGACACTAACTTCATCATGTTGCTGTTATTATTGTTAGGTACTGTTAAGTCAGTTCTGACTCATAGCCAGCCTACATACAACACACCAAAACAGTATACTTTTATTTGAAAAGCCTATAAGAATAGGCAACTAAAGAAACTCAAGAAATGGACAGAATTCTGATTATAGTAAAACACAGAAAGAAGAATGTTTAACCAGTGTGATGCACACTTGGCTTTAAAAATGGAAATGTGCTATACTTAAAAAAAGACACCTTGCTGAAAACAAGCCAGAATGAAGGAGCCTCACTTCATGAAATTTCAAAAACACTGAGAAAAACAACAAAAATTGAATTGAATGATATTTAAAGAAAGTAGTATTCAATTGACTTGATTCATCAAGGACTGTGTATCAGCAAATATTTGAAGACTCATTTTCAGTGCCAAGGTACTCACAATTCTTGTTTCAGGTTCAATGCATCCTCTGCATTGTCATGTCGACAGCACAAATTTATTAAAGCTGCATAGCCACCGACAACCATGTCCGATTCATATTGTGCTTTCACTTCAAGGGCTTTTTGCATGTTCTAAAATGAAGAATAGAAGCCAAAAAAAAAAAAGAAATTTAAAGGTAAAAACTCAAACTTCTAGTTTTATTGCTCAGAGTTTAGAAAAGTTAATAGTACTTTAAAAACAAATGGTTTAATATTCTCAATTGATCCTATTCCTTGGTATTTTCACTTCACTTTGAAGAATTAGTTAAATGTGTGGGATTTAAAATCTCTGTTATCTGTAATGCAAAATATTCCATTATTCATGACAAATTTGATGTTTTAGCTCTGTGTACTGTTGTTTTTCAAAAAAAGACTTCCAGATGAACTATTTACCAAGTTAGTCCATACTCACAATCTCATTTCCATATATCATTGCAAAGTTCCTTGCAGCCTAGAGTTTAATAGCCAGGAAATGTGAAGAAATAGTGTAGAATTTAACAGTACCGTGTCATAATCTAAAGTCAGTTATGGTATTTTTTTCTCTAAAACCATAGGCATCAAATCATATTGAACCAGAAACTCTGAAAAACAGTCTAGTGATATCCCACAAATTGTAGGCACACACTAAAATGAACACAAAGTACAGCTGGATGCCTGCTGAAAGAAGGCAAGAGACCCTTTATCTCAGAAAGAGCTTTTTTCCAGTAGGAAAATGGAATTTCAATCCCTGCATTAACAACCTAGTAATATTTGACTTGCAAATGACTACTGCATGTATCAGTTGCTTGACAATCTAGATATAAGAGACCGGAGCCATGGCTTGAAAGGACATTTGGCATGTATGATAAACCTATCACGGCTGTTACTATCATTCACTTTGCAGATTATTGTAAACAAACTACAGCAACCCGAAAACATGCCATTCAAGGTGTAGCTGAAATTAGTTAACCTTTCATTTAATTGAATTCTTCACAGGCATGACTTATAATAATCAATTATAAAAATCATAAATATTATATTTGGCTTTGGTTACTATTATCTATAGAGTTGTTTTTTTTTTTTAATTTTACTATCATGTTTAAAATATTTAAACATTACCTCTTCAGAACACAGTGTTAAAATGAGTTGCTTTAGGACATCTCTTATAGGTTGATTTTCAGCTTTCAGTTTTTTAAGTGTAGTCTCCAAATCACATGATGTAAGTTGCAATGTCTACAGAAATTAAAAAAAAAAAAAAATTGATAAAAACAGAAAATGTGCCCTTGTCACTATCTTCTCTAAACTGACTTGCCTTCCTATTTTCCTAAATGTCATAAATGCAAGCAGGGACACTAATCTGGAGATGGACCCCAGGGATTTATGATCTCAAGATTATAAGCAAATTACTTAGATATGTTGATTTCTTTGAGATAAGAAGTAACTTTTACCAACTTTTCAGAAGCACATAAAATAATAAGAGCATTTGGAACCACTGGTTGTATAAGGATGTAGCCTGGAATTCTTATTAAATCTGGTTCCTAGAACATATAGAATTTAGTAAAAATTACTTACTTTTTGAGAGTCTGCCTTCTCTCTTTCAACCAACATATTAACATCCTGAAATTGGAATTTAAGTTAGCACAGAATTAAAAACATATGGGAAAATATAATAAGTAGAACAAAAAACAAATTCTGAAAATCTGACCTCACTTTACTGCTATCTTTTTTCTTATTTATAAAACTCTCCAAAAATTCAGTTTATGTTTTATAAACCAGTTTTAAATGCATTGTTCCATATATAAACAGTATTTACCAACAATCAATGTTATGCATTGTTTTAATGTTGTCATCTAAATATGGGGGGACCAAAAGCATGAAATTTTGGCATATTTTTATATATAAATTAAGCAATTAACAAAGTTGATTACTACTTCACACACACCTTAATCAATTCTGGAACATGATAGCTATCCAGTAGATTACGAAGGCCTCTGTAGATATTTTCAGGAATTTTAACCTTCTGTATGAGAGAAAGGGAGAGAGGAAAAGAGAATTTTAGAAAACCAAATTGAAATTTGTCTACAGAAATTGTATCAAACATAATTTAAGTCTCCAACTCTTGCATGTCATTGAGAAGTGGTCTGGTTGTACTTAAAAGCAGCAATTTCAAATCTAATAGATACATGTCAGGCAGGACAGGCATTATATAGCATAAAATGAAATGGTACCATCTCCTTCAGCTGATGGAAGTATTGTCTCAAACGCTCCTCCTTGGCCTGTACCTCTGAGTCACTCATGCTGTCAATCAAGTTATAAAGAAAATAGCCAACAGTTTCTGTGGAAAAAAAACAAGAGAAAGCATTCCACTAAAATTACTGAGACTGTCATGTTATCAAGATTAATTTATAAGAAATCATTTTGGTGTGAGATGTCACCCTGATGAGAGGCTCTGAAATGGCAACAATGATCACTGAGGCATAGAGATTATGTGGTTTGGGAACACATATCTAACTGGTGAGTGAAAGGAATATTAATTATTTTCAGACCGAGTGACAGCTTTTCAGTACTGAATCTTACTTCAATCTCTTTTTTCCCACCACTCTGTGACAGAATGGTCCTGCCCAAGGCCTTACCTCTTTCCTGTCCCAATCACAAGTAATAAGAACAAATAATGTCGGGACACATTTCTGTACAATTTTTTTTGTGTGGACAATATTTAGAAAAGCACCTAAAATTATAAAGGATTGTTAAACGTTAAGTATAGAAAGTTAAATAATTTTAATAAGCAGATATAGTAATCCTCTGAAGAGCTGCCTATTAGCCAATGAGAAACTGAGATTAACAAAGATGTTTTGTAACAACAGTAATTTTCCTATGCATTCAAGCATAAAATGTATAGGGCCATGAGTTAATACCTAGGATAGAAAATTTGAACTTTCAAGAAGGATGCCTTCTTGTAAAAAGCCATATATTCTAGAGGCTTCATTATATGAAAAAGGAAAATGTCAAAATAATGTAATTTGGATATTAAAGTAAGAAAAAAAGCCCCCAAACCTCTTCACATGTTTAAAATTAAATACAGTTAATAAAACATTAAAATCACATAAACACTAATAATTACTGATTTTTAATCCTAATTCCACTAGTGCTTTAAAAGGATTCTCAACAAATGATAAGAAAAAGTCTCTCAACACAGTTTAAAAAAAATAATAATTATAGTAAAACATCTCATACTTCTCAACATGCTGTGACTATCAATATAAAAGATTTATAATAAAATGTTTTCAGATTTCACTTTCAAAAAGCAAGTGTTTACTGCTGTAATCCTTCTAGCCCATCATTACACAGAAGAATGGATTTGTGGATAAGTTACAATCATCGAAATTGAAACCCTACCCATTGGTCCTAGAGGCTCCTGGCAATAGCGTCCATCCTTGTAAAACAGTTCTGTTATCTAGTAAGACAGAAAATTTGTACATTGCAGCAATAGAAGCAAACAAGAACAAATGTAATCTGAAATTGAATTCTTGAAATAATAAAGCCTTTCCCCAGTACGGTATTATTTGATATCACAGTAATCCAATACCACCCCTACCCACACCAAGAAAATAGTTTTGTTTTTAAATAATAGGTTTGTCTTTTATAAAAACAAACGTTGAAGCAATACTGCAATGTTCTATGAAATGTCCCTTAACCTCTAATCCAATTTGTTCATGTCACTCTAAATGAATAATTGTAAATAGCTTATAAGAATTATCGACCAAAATTCTTTCTCATTATATTGTTTTTGGTCGTGTTGAAATTGTATCTGTTCCCTCCTTCTCAATGAGGTTGTACAAAAATAACACATTTTTTTTACAGTAATTCAATGCCATTTTCCCACTTATTCCACCAACACTAAATGGTGTGCAAACCACTTATTTTTAAATATTTATTCTGACAAAATTAAAATTGATAAATTTCAAAATTTCTCTTTTATGATAAAAAATACTGCTTTTGGAACCATTTTAATGTTTCACATTCTCAAAAGTAAACAGATGGATAGTCAGACCAATAAAATAGATTATATCCACTAGGATGAGGAAACCATTAAAATGAGATACAAATGAACTTTAATGTATTCCAAATGGATAAAATTACTGTCCTGAAGGTAGAAAAACAAAAAGAAACTACCTAAGTAAACATGTACACAATATTTGATAATGTCCCCAAACGGATGATATGATTGGTAACATGTAGTTGTTTTTCATAGTGAAATGGGTTAGAAATACTTTATGTATATACTCAAAACTATAGGAATCATCCTGGAGAGGGGCTGTAGGATAAGCACTGGACTGCTAACCATAAGGTTAGCAGTGCAAACCTACCATCTGCTCCTCGGAAACCCCCTACAGGGTCATTACTAGCCAGAACCAACTCCAGAGAATTTGACAATAACAACAATATACTCATATTATAACTAAGCACATAAGTTCTTAAAACAGCACCTGGGATATCCTATGTTAACACCTCACAATCAGATATTTCTATCTATTTACTATTATGAAAAATTAGGCAAAAATGACTATATCCTTTTTAACCAAGCAAATTATGTTGCATTTAATGGCAATTATAATTAAGATGGACATGAGAATCATTGAAGCCCCTATGCTGTTTTCTAACTAATAGACATATGTAGAAAATACTGTACATTAGACATACTTTATAGTCAATTTTGAATAAAGATATATTTAATACTAAAATATAGTAAGATGAAATTTCTATTTAAAAAATATATAAATTTGGAATTTTAATTGATAATACGTATTTATTAAGCTCTAAATTTTTTACAATTAAGCATAATTACAGTACTTCTTAACTAAAATAATCAGTTAATATTTTTTAAAAGGTGGCAGTATAAAGTTGGTATGCATATGGTTCCTATATTAGCCTTATGAAGACATACACATAATCTGAAAAATTAATTATTAAATATGTATATCAAATGTCACTGCAGTGCTGTTAGCAGTTGGTTTTTGGGGGGGAGTGGTTGAAAACTTGAATAATTTTAGACAAACGTCAAGGATAACCTCAAAATAAATTTTGCTTAACAGTAGGGCAGTTTTAGAACTAGCAGATTCAAGATTTTATATTCATTAACTTTTAACAGTATATCATAAATGTATAAAACTGTGACTGGTTTTGCTCTTAATACTTTTTTATATATCATTTTCCCATTTGCAATGTTAGGAAAACGTACCTTACTCCAGAGATTTATATCGACATTCCTGCAGAGGGCAGCAGAGGATTGAAAATTAAAAAACAAGAAACAAAACCATAAACCTCAGAGATTTGAAAAAACAATGTAAAGTTACAATGCACTAGGAATTATTGATGCAATTATGCAGAAAGCAGTCTTAAAATAAATAATTTTTTTTTTTTTAATCAAGCTAAATTTTCAGGACAGACTGACCCTCAACCTATTTCAAATTGTCAAAATAAAGATGGGTTTAGGCAAGAATTCTCAAAACTAACTCCTGAAATCTAGTGGTCCTTGTCTGTTATGGGGCAGGATATATGCATGGTCTCAAAGTGTCTGCCATGAAATGTTTATACTGTAACAAGAAAAATACTAAGTATATAACGGAGAAATTGAACACCACCACACTGAGTGCTCATTCTGACACCACCAATGAGATTGACAGACTCACAGACTCGCTCCTGTCTTCCAGCTGGGGAGGCATAACCATAAATGAATCATAGGGAACTATCACAAGAATCATTCTATAAAATAACTGGCCTGTATTCTTCAAGGTTGTCAGTGTCATAAAAGACAAAGCACTGTTTCAAATTAGAGAAAAAGGGTAACTAGCATCCATTCTTGAACTGGACTCTGTAGGGGGAAAAATGTTAGACGACAGTTGATAATATTAGATAAATAATTACATCAATGTCAAATTTTCTACATTTTCCAACTGTATTATTGTGCAAGAATAGTTGTTGTATTTTAGATGGTGAGAAAGTACAAATAAGAATTTGACAAAATATTAAAAGATGGCAAATCTACAAAAAGGGTATATATATATATATATATATATATATGAGTTTTTGTTAATATTCTTACTTTTCTGTAAATTTGAAATGGCTGACCAAAATTCTATCTTTGTTTAAAGGAGAAACCACTTACAAGATGGACAACTAATGAACACAGGTCTTCTGTGTACCATATTTACACCTTCCTGTAATTCTACTGGCTTTGTACTATTTCAAAGCTTGAGTTTAAGATTTAAATGTATTCTTAACTGAAACATTACTTACTTTTAGAAAACTAGTTATGTGTTTGACCAATAAATAAAATCAAGATAAAGGGAGAAAAGATTGAAGTTGTCAGAGACTTCATTTTGCTTGGATCAATCATGAACACTCATGGAAGCAGCAGTCAAGAAATCAAATGACATATTTATTGCATTAGGCAAATCTGCAAAAGACTTTTTAAAGTGTTCAAAAGCAAAGATGTCAGTTTGAGGATTAAGGTACACCATGGTATTTTCAATAACCTCATATGCACGTGAAAGTTGGACAGTGAACAAAGAAGACCGTAGAAGAATTGACGCATTTGAATTATGGTGTTGAAGAGAATATTAAAAGTACTGTGGACCACCAAAAAGAACAAAAGATCTGTGTTGAAAGAAGTACAGCCAGAATGCTACTTGGAAGCTGGGATGGCCAGTGTTCATCTCTTATTCTTGGGACGTATTATGAGGAAAGATCAGTCCCTGGAGAAGCGCATCATGCTTGGTAAAGTGAAGCGCAAGAGAAAAAAAAGGCGACTCCTAAGAAGATGGATTGGAACAGTGGTAGCAGCAATGGGCTCAAGTGTATCAACAACAATAAGACTGGCACAGGACCAGGCAGTGACTCATTCTGTTGTGTATAAGGTTACTATGAGTGTGTACCAACTTGATGGCACCTAACAACAAGTTATGTGTTTAAGTGGTTGTTAAAATTAAATCAAACCCACTGCTATTGAGTCTATACCAACTCACAGTGACCCTACAGAGCAGAGTAAAACGACTCCAAAGGGTTTCTACGACTGAAAACCTTTATGAGAGCAGACAGCAACCCCTTTCTCCTACAGAGCGGCTGGTAGGTTTGAACCACTGACCATCTAGTTGGCAGTCTAACACTAAACCCACTGAGCCAGGAGGACTTCCTAATGATTATTATGTTGCTGTTGTTCGGTGCCATAGAATTGGCTCCAACTCACAGCTACCCTATGCATCACAGAACAAACTGCTCGGTGCTTGGCCATCCTCACAGCTATTTTACGGTACCAGCAACTGCGCCAATCCATCTCCTTTAGTGTGTTCCTCTTTTTTACGTGATGGTTGTATTCCTGAAAAGGTAGCATTTTTTTTTTTTTATGCTAAAGGAAACGTAATTACCTCGTTCTAGTAAGAAATTCAAATAGCACTAGAAAGGGATATAAAGAATGGGGATCTATAAAAGAAAAAAATGATTAACATTTTACTTTAGCAAAATGGCTCTTAGGACTAAGCACATTAAAAACATGAATTAAACTATACCTCAACATTTCTATTAGCATCTTTATTTTCACAAATTTGTTGTTGTTAAGTGCCATCAAGTCAGTTCTGACACATAGCAACAAGGTATAGGTTTCTGAGGAGCAGCTGGTGGGTTTGAACTGCTGACCTTGTGGTATGAAGTCCAGTGCTGATCCTACAGCACTACACTAAAATTTAGATACCCTTTTAGTCACAGGTTCTTAATCTGAGTTTCAGGGAGTCTGGGGAGGATGTCATAGACCTCATGACAAATAGATGAAGCTGCATTCTTTCATCCCATCAGGAAAAGAGTATTTTGCAAATGGCATTACAATTTTGGCATACTTGAGTGAGTTCATGAACCTCCTGCAGGCACATTTCTGAGTCCTATAGGAATCCTCATACTCCATAGCAGTTACATTTTTCCCAGATTACTGTTCAACTAGAGTTCTGGTATGTTACTATGGGATAAGCACTGGACTGCTAACCTCAGTGTCAGCGGAAATTCACCAGACACTCCTCGGAAATCCTACACAGGGTTGCTAAGAGTTGGGACCAACTTGATGGCACTTAACAACAACGTACATATATTTACAACCCATAAAAATCAAAAGCATAGTGGTTATTATACAATGCATATGTCTATAACACACTAACACCCAAAAGCCATTTAAAACAAGATTAGGCAGTTTGGGGTAGACGGGAGTTTTGATACAGGGTGTTAATGGGACCCTGTGTAGCTTGAATCGCTGAGTCTGCGGTTTAAACCAACCTTGCAGTCCAGTACATTAACCCACAGCACCACACCAGGACTCCTAGTGTCAAAGGGCACTTATTTTTACTTGTAAAATACATACAGAAAAAAATATAGACATACAGAAGACATAATCAGCATGTACAACAATTGCAATTTCGGGAGATTATACTGAGTGAAGGAGTCCTGGTGTGGCGCTACAGGATAAGCACTGGACCAAAAGGTCAGTGGTTGAAACTCACAAGCAGCATCTCGGAAACAGAATATAGGGTTGCTATGAGTAGCAACAGATATGACTGCATTTAACAACAACACACTGAGTGGAAACAAAGCCAACCTCAAAAGACCACATGGCCTGGAGGAAGGTAGAATCTCCAGTGAGTAGTATTCAATCTGACTAGCTAGGGCTGATGCAATGAAATGCAGATGGGTCTCTTGTGATACAATAGTGAATAATTGTTATCAGGACTGATGGTGAGGGTCGGAAATGTAAAGGTAGACGTTTTATAGCAAGGAGGGGAGTGATTAACTTTTCAGTCTAGGAGCGGAGGTCCCTAGGACCATCAAGGGAGAAGAGCAGAGAGCGGGACCCTACCCAGAGAAGCAGTGATGCCTGAAATGGAGCCAGAGATGATGACGTGGAGCGATGGAGCAGCTGGGACTTTGGATCCAGAGAGGGAGAGGGCCTGTGTGCTGAAGACCTGGGGGGTATGAGGGAAGGATTGCACAGAGGGGATTGTAACCATGGCAGTGAGACGATGTATAATAGAATAATGAACAACTAATGTTCTCCCATGTAAACTATCACATAATTCACAATAAAACATTTAAGAAAAAAAAAAAAAAGATGATGTACTGTCTGAATCCATTCATACAATATTTGTGAAATGACAAAATTATAGGAACAAATTAGTGGATGAGTGTGACTATAAAGAAGTAGCACAAGGGGAAACATTTATGACTCACATGTGATAACAATGACAAAATGATAAACACCATTGTACCAATGCCAAGGTCCTGATTTTGCTAGTGTACAAGTTACACAACTGCAACCATAAGAGGAAAATGGCTAAAAGACAGATAAAGTCTCTGCATATTGTATGTGCAACTTTCTGTGATTCTATACCTTCCTTCCAACAAACAAATCTGATTCTGACTTGTAGTACCACTACAGGATAAAGTAGAACTGCTTAATATGATTTCTGAAACTGTAAGTTTATGTGCTTAGTAATAATATCAGTATATTGGTGTACTATCTATTTGCAGATGATGTGATCCTATAAATAGAAAATCTCTAAGACTCAGCAAAAAGTTATTGGAAATAATTGAAAGATTCAGCAAAGTGTCAGGATACAAGTTCAATATACAGGCACAACTTAAATCCTCAAATTGATGACAATTTGCTCTTAAACACTTTAAAGAGGTTTATGCAGCATATTTGCCCAGTACTAAATGCCATTTCATTTCTTGACTGCTGCTTCCATGAAGTGTTGATAGGGGTTCCAAGCAAAATTAAATCTTTGACAACTTTCATCTTTTCTACATTTATCACGGTGGTATTTATTTGTCCAGATGTGAGGATTTTTGTTTTCTTTACAATGAGGTGCAATCTATACTGAAAGCTGTGGTCTTTGATCTTCATCAGTAAGGTTTTTAAGTCCTCTTAACTTTCAGCAGCAAGATTGTATCATCTGTAGATCACAGGTTGTTAAAAGAGTCTTCCTCCAATCCTGATGTCATGCTGTTCTTCATATAATCCAGCTTCTGGGATCATTTGCTCAGTATACAGACTGAATAATTATGGTGAAATTATACAACCCTGGTGCACACCTTTTCCTGATTTTAAACCATTCAATATCCCCTTGTTCTATTCTAGCAACTGCCTCTTGGTCTATATATACATTCCTCATGAGCACAATGAAGTCCTTGGGAATACCCACTCTTCACAATGTTATCCATAGTGTGTCAT